CCCCTAAAATTTGAAAACTCTCATTTATAAATATATTTTATCTGGGCTTTGTTGTGCATGACTGTAATCCCAGCAACTCAGGAGGCTGAGGCAGAAGGATTGCAAGTTCAAAGCCTTCCTCGGCAATTTAGCAGGGCCCCAAGCAACATAGAAAGGCGCTGTTTCAAAATAAAAAGGGCTAGGGATGGGGCTGGGGTTGTGGCTCAGGGGAAGAGGGCTGGGCTAGCAAGCCTGAGGCACTTGGTTCAATTTTTAGCACCACATAAAAATAAAATAAAAGGTATTATGTCCACCTACAACTAAAAAATAAGTGTTAAAAAAAGGTCTGGGGATGTGGCTCAGTGGTTGAGCACCCTGGGTTCAATTCCCACTTCCAAAAAATAAAAAAATGTATTCTAGGTGTGGTAATGCATTCCACAGAGCTTAAAATCCAACATACACAAAACTGTACAGTGGACTCTCTCCCCTATTCCTGTCTTCTAGCCACCCATTTTTGCCTCACTAGAGTTAACTCCTAATTCATAAGGAGTATTTTCAGGGATATTTAATGTAGGTCAGATAATAAATATGTATACTCCCGCTTCCCTTTTATACACAAATGGTAACACATTCTACACATTGTTCCACAACTTGTTTTGTCTACTTAAAAATATACTTGAGATCTTTCCATATAATACATAGAATATGTCTCATTCTTTTGTGTGTCTGCATAGTTTTTCACTATATGGATGAACCATGATTTATTTAAACAGTTTTCTATGGATTGGCAGGCTCTTTCCAAACTTTTGCAATGTTGTAATAGCAATAACAACTTTGTAAGTTCTATATGAGAGGAATAGGGCTGTCATAACAAGATATCACTGACTGAGTCTGCTAAACAACAGAAATTTAATTTTTTGACATTCTGGAATCTAGAAATATTAGATCAAGATGCCAGGATGTTCATATTCTTTTGAGAGTTCTTTTCCTTGTCTTCATAGCTGCCTTCTTGCTACATACTCACATGACCTTTATGCAAGGAGAGAGAGAGAGAAAGAAAACTCTATGGTGTTTCTTCTTATAAAGACACTAATTCTATCAGATTAGAACCCTACCCTTATGACCTCCTTTAACCTTAATAACTTCCATAAAGGCCCTGTCTCCAAATACATTCACATTGGGGGTGAAAGTGTTAACATAGCAGAATGTCAATTTTCCTAGTCTCAGACTTTAAAAATTGGTTGACTTCCAATATTTCAGAATCAGATTTTACTTTGAAATTCTAGAATTCAAGATTTTCCAGAATAATCAGAAGATACTAAGCCAGTATTCGCTCCTGGCAAAAATTGCCTAGAGTTTATGAACTGCTCTCTCTATCCCTTTTAGACAGGACATATATTATCTGTTCATTGTGTTCGTCATCTGGCCTAGGTGACCTTAAACTGTCTGGCCATTCTAGGTATTGAATTTGTGGCAATTTTGCAAGTTCTTACCATAAAATAAATAGAATATTCTATTAGCTTCTAGTTTTGCATTGATTCTTCCTCCTCTTCATTCTCTGAGGATTATTGCCAGGATATTGTCCTTAAAACACATTTAAAAAATTATTCCTCTTTTCTTTGTCATTTTATTAAGCACCTACAAAATTCTAGGTATCATGCTAAAAGCTGGGGTTATAGTGGTGAATAATTTTAAGTGGGAATCTTCGTCTTCATAGAGTTTATAATCTACTTTTTCTCTCATTTGAATTCCCTTTAGGACTCTTCTTAGTTCTTCAAGCTCCACTTCATAACAAACAATTCTTTGGGGATTTTTTTTTCTGACTGTTCCATTCTCAGTAATCTCTCATAGCTTCAAAGGCTCATAACTTCAAGTTACAATTCACTGAAACAGCATCCATTACTTTCTAATGCTTTTTTTTTTCTTTGTACGGGCATTGAACCCAGGGGCACTTAACCACTGAGCCACATCCCCAGCCTTTTTTGTATTTTATTTAGAGACAGGGTCTTGCCGAGCTGCTTAGGGGCTCACTAAGTTGCTGAGGCTGGCTTTGAACTTGAAATTCTCCTGTCTCAGCCTCCCAAACAGCTGGGATTACAGGCGTGTGCCACCATGCCTGGCTTCTTTTAGTGCATTTTTTGAGGGTTCGAGGAATAGAACCCAGAGCCTTGGGCATGACAGGCAAGCACTCTGACACTGAGCTAAATCCCTAGACAATTTTTTTTTGAGACAGAGTCTCACTAATTTGTGCAGGATGTTCTGGCACTGGTGATTCTGTTGCCATAGCCTCCTGAGTGGCTGGGATTACATGTGTGTGCCACAGTTTCCAGCCTTTGTCTTGTAAAGTTTGACTGCTATCTTTATGCCTAGTTTTATTTTATCACATGAACCTGGAATCTCAAGCTCAAATCTCAGCAAGACCCAGTAAAAAGAGAGGAATGTCATGTCTAAAGGGAGCAGCCACTGATCATCTCCAAATATTTTTTCAATGTATACTCCGTGTTGTAAGATCTGTCAAGTGTTCAGAAAATCAAGAAATAGATTTTCTTTTTAAATGAAATTTCCTGTATTTGAAAAATTTTCAGCTAATCATATTTTAATTTATAACATCTTGATGGGAACCAATTCTGTGACTTCAGTTACTAAACAATTTATTATGACTTTGGTATTACTTAGTCTCTCTGACCTCTTATTTCCTCATGTGGAAAATGAGATCAACAATAGTAGCTATCTCACAGACAGTTGTGAAGATTACATATCCCCTGTTAGAAATACCATAGGAATGAAATGTTGTAATTTCTAGGATTTACCTAAAAATATCCACTGAGATGGGGCAAGTAATTTGGAGTGCAAATAAAATAAGATTTGCCTTTAATTGAATATATTTGAAGCTGGGAATAGACACATAGGAGTCTGTCTCTATGCATTTGAAATCATCCATAATAATTTTAATGCCATTGGAATGAAACTCAAGTTTACGTAGTGGTTTGTAGGGAATTTAATTGTTTTTCTTGACATCAACCTCACTGGTCAGCAGAAACTTGGATGATTATTGTGGATTTTCCATCTATGGACTTTATCATGCAATACCCTGTGGAATTTAATTATTTATTTATTTATTTATGAATATTATAACTAGAAGGGGCCTGAAAAAGAAAGTAGTTTCAATAACATTTTGAGTAACAGGTAACAGTGGAGCTTGGTCTAGAATCCAAGTCTACCAGCTCCTAGTTAAATTATTTTTCCTTTATTTCACACTGCCTTCTTTAACTAGAGCACTTTTATTATAAATTCTACCACTGGCTGAGTGTGGTGGTGCACACCTGTAATCCCAGTGACTCAGGAGGCTGAGGCAGAAGGTTTGCAAGTTGGAGGCCAGCCTCAGCAATTTAGTGAGGCCATAAGCAACTTAACAATACCTGTCTCCACATAAAAAATAAAAAGGGTGGGGGTGTGACTTAGTGGTTAAGCACAGCTGGGTTCAATCCCCACTACCAATCAATCAATCAATAAATAAATAAATAAATAAAATTCCGCCAGGGTATTGCATGTAAGATTATTATTTGAACATAAATGTACTTGTTTAATGGTGTTTGAAGACAGAGGGACTAATTCTAGAAATCTGAGGTTACATTTGTGCAATTTTTAAAAATCTGTTCTTTCAGGTCATCCTCACAACGATCCTGTGATGTAAGTGAGAAGAAGTTAATTCCACTTTCCACATTAAGTGATAGGACTTGCCCAAGGTCACCTAACAATTTGGTGATTAAACTAGAACCAAAACTCATATGGGAGTTTATCATCATTCTCTTTAGCTTTTAAGTTTTCCAGAATGAGGACTCCCTAGCACATTTCAAGGTGATTTATCAGTCATACATATTTGTTTTATTTCTTGTAGTAAAGAAAATTGGGCTTAACATCAGCATCTGAGGAGAGGACAAATATGTGAAAGCATTAGATGCCATGCAGGTGATACTATAGAATATGAAGTCATAGGAAATAGAGATAAATATATCAAAAATAATAAGATAGGAATTGTTACTCTAACTGATTTGGATCTTTAAAATATGACTTTGTTTTTGTACTTTATTTTGTGATTTTTCTGACAGAAATCATCCTAAAAATTACATTGAGATCTTACAATTATGTCTTACAAACAAATTATTATATGTGTTACCATGATTTATCTTCTTGACAACCAAATGAGAGGATATATTTCCATTTTGTGTATGAGAAACTGGGGCATAGAAAGGTCAAATGACTTGCACAAAATCATCCAGCTTTGTTCTGGTGTATCTCATCACCTTATCTTTTTATTACCTCACACTACTTCACTACTTCAAACTTGACTAACTGTTGTGATGGTATAATATTCAATTTCATTCTTTCTGTCACTGAAATTCACACATGGTATGTGCTGTCACACCGGACTCATTTTTGTGATAATGTGTTCTTTTCTCTTAAACTTCTATTCTTTTTACCATCCCAGTTGCCCCTGACACACACATATTTTCTTTTATCTCATTCTAAGTAGCAGGAAATGCAAGTTATAGGGGTTTTCTGTCTTGAAGTCACTTCTGAGTACCTGCTGCGTGTTTGGACTAGGTACTTCAGAAACCCTCCAGCTTTTGTGTATATTGAAATCTTTCCATAGGAAAGTCATAAGGATTTGTCCACTGAGATACTACTGTTGGGATTTCTTTGAGGTTGAGTTTTCTGATAATGTCCAAAGTGATAGATGTGAGGCTCTTTGAAGGAAATAGGATAAATTAGAGGATCTTGCAATCTCCTTTTATTGGGTAGTTTGTTTTTAGCAACCATTTACCCTCTGTTATGGGACCTGCTTCAAGCAGAAGTTGGGGATCCATTTGCCTCCAGATCAAGACGCATTATAACTTTATTATGGCTGTATTATAGCTCCAGGCTGTTGAAATTCAAATCCCCTTTCTGCCATTCCTAGGTGGGTGATTTGGGGATAAACCACTTCATCTCTCTCTGCTCATTTTTAAAATGGGGAGAATTGGGGTGTGGCTCAGTGGTAGAGTGCTGGCCTAGCATGCCTGTGGCCCTGGGTTTGATCCCTAGCACTGCAAAAAATAAAAAATAAAATAGGGTAGTACTCACTACAAGGATTGTGAGGAGTAAATGTGATAATATTATTTTCACAGAACAGTACCTGACACATAGTAAGTACTTGGGGAATACAGACTATTATAGAGCTTTTTATCACCATTCCATTGTTAATGTCATGATACAGAGTAACTTTAATCCTGAAGGTTTTTGTAAAGACCCATCCTAACACTACTTTCTATTCCCCTAGAAGATATATAATAAACCATCTAAAATATATGTGTACTCTAGTCCTTTAATTATGTTTTCTAATAATAAAAATATAGGTAGCACTGTTCAAAAAATGATCCATAATCTCAAAACACTAAAAGATTGTTTCTCATATTTTAATAGTTTCAGCATTTTTTATGTTCAGAGAATGTAGGTGAATATCTGTATAAGGTCCTCCTAAGTGATTATTTTGTTGTCTTCAAACTTGATCTTTTAGCAGACAGTTTTTCATGAAAAATGTACTCACCAGATTTGAGGTATTCAAAAGTAGTGAGAAGGCACTAAGAGGATAAAAGTTTAAGTTCTGATTCCAGGACTTCTAAACTGTGTGTCATTGAGCCTCCAAATCAGTGATCTGTGAAATGGGAATTATATGAATGCTATCTCTTTCCCTGTTGTAGAGTTGTGCAGATACAGAAGAGGGATTATTATTTGCATTGCCCAATGTCTCTATTCTCTTAAGGCACTAAGTCCTTTCTTAAATGTGTATACTATTCCCTGTTTCTTTTTAGTTGTAGGCTCTAATAACTCTGCTTTGCTTCCCTCCTTAAAGTTCTTATTTCATCTCTAGGCATTTTTCCTTTTCCAAGGTTGGCCAAAGGGTAGGATGTGGTCTTCTTAGTGAGCCATCTCCTCCTGTCCCTTGGAGGCACCCTTTACTTTCATAAAACAAGCAGATCATTATAGGAAATGCCAGTTGGGTTAAAAAAAAAAAAATACACTTCGGAACATGACAGAAGTACATAATCTTATCAACTTCCTGTGCCCATGGTCTTCTATCTTACATATGGGAGACATTGACCACTGGAAATGTGGCTCAATTCTCCTTTATTTCCTTTCTCCAATATCCCTGCACCTAGAAGAAAGACCAGGAAATATAGCTTCTAAACCCAAAGGCTCGAAGAGCCAAACCAAGCAGAATTGTAGTTACCTTAAGTATGTAATTTTCATTTTTGATGCCCTCCTGCCTGGGTGATTCACATCTCGATGGCCCAGACCAGTACTATAACTTCCTTTGCATATTTTCTCACTACTTCCCTCACTGACAGCTTCTGTGCATCTGTCTGGTCTCTCCTAGATACTTAGAGAAGCAATTCTGACTCTATAAAGTAAGAGGTTTATAAAGCCCTCTTTTTCAAAAACAGCTTTATAAAAAACCTTCAGTGGGCCCTAATTCCTTATTTTTTAATTTTACCTGACTAAACATTGAAGATACAAAAGTTTTAAAAGGGAAGTTTTTACATCTTCCCAAAACTTTTTCTGTAGTCACTCCTACCAACATGTAGAATATAGATGAGAATTATCTAATGACTATTTGGCTATTCATTTGATGACATTTGGCTATTTTTTTTTTACCCAACTGGCATTTCCTATAATTTCTCAACCAGAAATGGCTGAGACATTCCTATTTGTCATCTATTCCCTTTGCCATTTGACTAAAATATTTGTAATGTAGATAGGACAAGAGATATTTTTAGGTTTCTTGACAATTATTATTAAAGCTTTAGGAGATAAGCAGCTGTGGTTCTGGATGTGGCTCTAACTTTGCTTATTCTCATGATCATATATTCATTTACTCACCAGACATTAGGTCATAGTATATAGGAGATACTCTGCTAAAAGAGAGAGGAATAAAAGTAGGTAACTATGGATGAGCTTACCTGGTATTCAGAAAAAGAGATAATACTTCTTTGTGCCAGGTTCTGTTGTAAGCACTTGAACATTTACTAACTTTATATTATTATTCCCATTTTACAAATCCTCACAACAACTATATGAACTAATATTATTCCCATTTTACAGATGAGAAAACAGACACAGGGAGCTGGGAAACTT